CTCCTCTCTCTCTCTCTCTCTCTCTCTCTCTCTCTCCTCCTCCTCCTCCTCCCTCCCTCCCTCCCTCCCTCCCTCCCTCCCTCCCTCCCTCCCTCCCTCCCCCTCCTCCCTCCTCCCCTCCCCCTCCTCCCCTCCTCCCCCTCCTCCCCTTCCCCCTCCTCCTCCCCCTCCCCCTCCTCCCCTCCCCCCTCCTCTCCCTCCCTCTTTGCATTATCGTATTACGTATAACGACTCGTTTGAATATGCAATTAACTCTTGCATTTTCAAAATCCAGCGTTACTTATGCCAATAACGGTCAATTGAACTTTTCCATTAACTTTGTTTCGATAGATCTCCCCCCTCTTTTTTTCCTTTTTTAATTATCATTATTATTGTTATCATCGTCATCGTTACATCGAACTAGTTCCATCAATGATTTTCCTCGACGAGGGAGGCAATTGTCATATTTTTCTCCTATCTTATCAATTATCAATTTTCTTTCCTTTCGATCGAATACAATAAATTGGATCGTAAACAATTAAATTACCTCTTTTTACTTGTTGGTTAAAAATACTATATGAATATAGGATATGTATGTATGTATATATATATATATATATGTATCGTTATCGATTGAAATTATTTTTTTTCTCGTTCGAAAGATAAGCTGCTGATCGATTTGATCGAATTAATCATCAGGCCGGATATTCTCGATAAACATTGATTTTGTTTTGCTAATCTTCGAAAAGGAACTCTGGATTTGAAAAAATTCCAGAGAAGAAGTTAGAGTTTGAATAAAAAAAAAAAAGAAAAAAAAAAGGAAAAAAATGTTATCTCTGTGTAGTTACACGGTTCATTGTGATTCGATTTTAAACGATGATATCATAAGTGTCTTTTTCTTTTTTTTTTTTTTTTTTTCTTCTCTCCTCGTTTTCCATTCGCGAATACGTGAATAGAAGCGTCGATTTCAAATATCGAAATTAATATCTCTTTATACCGCATTATTATCTTATTTTAATAAATATCTCTACTCTGGAAGATATTTCGGTACACTTGTTCTCCTATAAATATTCATAGAAACAACTCGTTCGAGAGAGGATCGTTAAGTTATATAAGTCGTTAAAGAATACTTTTAGAAATAGCGCGACAATCGATGCTTTTCATGGAACAAGCCGGAACATTAAATTGGACGACAAGATAATTTTAGAGGAAGAAGAAGAAGAAAAAAAAAAAATTCAATCTCACACATTTTATTCCAAAGAGGTTTCAATAAAAAGAGACCTTGAAAAGTCACACATGCACGCACGTGCCATTTTTATGCGTATTCTAAACCATTTTTTTTTTTTTTTATGTTTAAAAAATGTGCGATACGATATTTCGTTGTTTTACAGGATTCCTTATGTTTCGTTCATATATATATATATATATATTATTGGTATCGGTGAGCAATTATTGGTTATACAGTAACACTTGATGAAACAAGTGTTACGTAATTGTTGAATGTCATTGTATGGCAATCCAAGCGTTCTATTTTTGTTCCATTGTAAAAGCAACACCTGCCATCTTTTTGCACAGCATTGACTTTAAGTGACTGCGATTATCCCCTGTTTAACAACACTCCAGTTTCTACGGCTGAAAGCGGGCAATGGTGGTCCCATTCCTCGCCGATGAGTCGAGCCACCGAGTGTTCCATTCGAAGTAACGAGCGACGAATGAAATCTTATTCTATATAAGTCTTTTTCTCTCCCTTCGAAATAATTATCCTCCTTTTCGTTTCAGAGGATAAAAACTTGGTAAAAACGCACATCGCACGAAGTAAGCTTATTTATTAATTGCAACGAACGTTCGAAATTTCGAATTTCGAAGGAAAGGTGAAATTTTATAACGACTTCTAAACACGAGAATTCGATTCTTGGCCAACGTTTTCTACCGCTAGACCGACCGCAAGACTTCCGTTGGAAGCTCGTAATTTCCGGAGATAAGATAAGTTAAGCGGGCAAAAACAGGCGATTAGCGAGGTCCGGCCGAGTCCGTTGAAGACCAAGAACCTTGGGCTCGAAATTCAGCAAACCGTGTACCAACTTTTACGCTCCATCCTCGTCCATCCTTGTAATCCTTTTATTTAACGGTTAACGAAATTTCGTAAACTCGCTTAACGCGTTTCTTCTCCGTGCAATCTGTGTAATCCATTTGATCCTCTCGTTCCGATTATTCGACGTGTTAGGTTAGGAAAATTTTCAATTCTATTTATTATTCACAATCGTCTTATTTCATTCTTGATCGAGATAAAAGATACTATTAAATGCGATAAGCAGCAACGATTGAGATAACTGTATTAAAATTACCGATATTATCGGTAATTGAATAAAAATTCCAATACCGATCGACAATTCGAACGAATCCATTTTCGAGAACCCTTATTGGAACTTTCAATTGTGTATACATATTCACCAGTGCGTTAAATTATACTTTCACCGTGTCTTTCTTCTAACGCATTACGCGCGAATTACGTAGTAGTCGCTGGCGTCTATGCCGTGTGGATGTAATAAATTTCGCCAACTTGGACGTTTGTTTCAACTGTAACGTGCTTATTTTACGAATTATCGCGTAGATCGAATTTTCGGTCGAAAAAAATTGACGTAACGCGGCAACGGTTGCCATCCGATTTCGAATTTCGAATTTTGTTACGCAAGTAGGAACGTGGAGTAGAAAAAAAAAGTTGAAAAAGTTCCGTACATCGATTACGATTATAATCCCTAATTTAGAACATCGATCAGTTGTTGAAAGGCGAGGCGATTAGTCCGTGCAACATGGTGGATACACGCGAAGCATGCGCACACCTGTTTATTCACATCGTGGAAAATTTTCATCAACTGGTCATTTTTCACAATTTGTTCGAATGGAGATAGAGGCAATTGTCTGGGAATACACGAATATTTGTTGCGCACAGGTATACGTGCACGCGTTCGAATATGAAAACAACAGATCATTTTTTTAATCGTTGAATCGTTCAGCACGTGTTTACCGTTCCATGTGTTTCCAAAACGGACCAACCTGCTTAACGATGTTTCGACGCAGAACGTACTAGAAGGTCGGTCGGGAAAATTGTATTACGCCGTTGTCCTGTTACTACTCGTGTCTGTTATTGACACAAGAGGACGAAGCTGTGAAAAGCATGTCTTGTTATTAACGTAAGCGAATGTTGTGTAGGGCAGGAAAATCTTGATAAATTCCCTATTATTCGTAGAAATTTCTTTTTCCTCGGATTATTGACGTAGAATGTTGCCTCGTCACGTGCCTCGGTCACACTCTTACTTATATGTTTCGTTGAAAGAACAACTTCGGATAATGTTTCCTACTGAAAAGTAGTCGCGCGGGACGGCTGAGGAGCAAGAGGGGTCCTTCGTTAGGACTGCCTATCTCCACTTCAAACTCTTTGTTGACAATCCTAACATCACACGCTACATAGTAGTGGAAGAGCTATTTGAATTTGAATATTCAAAATCGTAAAAATTATTTTCATTTATAAAGTTACGTTAGGATAATCATCCAAGACTGGAAGTTGAAATATTTTCGAAATTATTTCGATATCGATATATTTTTAGTACGATTAGCTTATTCGTATATATACAATTGTTATCGTTACAAATATAATAATTAGTTTAAACGTATTATGAAAAATAAGGAAATTTTTATATTCGATACATTAGAATTCTCTCGATTCTATGCTTACATTATAATGCATCGAAGTTTAAATACAGATGGTCGTTTTGGATCGCTTTTCTTTTCGAGACCAGTAAAATTCTTTATTTTAGCACGTGTTTTTCCCACGTACATCGAAAAATTATCCGCCTCCTTAAACCGTGACGGAATCCTCGAAATCCTGTTACAAGATGTCGAAGATTGAAAACAAGTTTTTTTTTCCTCTTCATGCGAATATTTAACCATATAAGAATATTTTCATACGTTGGAGGTGACGATCATCCGATTTATAAATAATTGCGTGAAGTTATGGAAGAGGAGAGTTACGTTCACTGTAACTATATATGTATATTTATATATATATATATATATATATATTGTCGATGTATTTCCCGATCGTATACCGGTTTCGCACCTGTTCGCCTAACTCGAACAGTATATTCATTTACGACTCGATACGTTCGAGAAAAATTGGAAAATATTGCCAACGATATAATTACCGTTAACGTTCAACGCGGGAGATAGTTACGATCATTTTGTAATTATCAATCGTGACTAAGCTTCTCCTTTATCACATTATACTTAAAGAAAGCACATGCACAGTTCTTTTCTTTTCCTTTTTTTTTTTTTTTTTTTTTTTAAATTTTACACTTTGGAAGACTCGACGCGAGTTATTAAAAATAACTCGTAACCAGTCTTGACCTCCTCCTCTACCTCGACCACCTCCAATAACCATAGCATAGACCCAACTATCTTCGTACATTTTATAACGAAACGGAAATTAAAAACGTCGAAATCAACCTTCATCAGATATTCGAAAGACTTCTCTGTTTCAGGAACGGGCGAAGAGAAGGACGTTGGTCGTGTTTATCCTCGGCGGGAAGGGGCGGAAGGAGGTTCCGGAAGATATTCCCCGGTTTTTCGTGAGAACCACATCTCTCCGCCATCGTACGTGAGAATAACTGGCAGAGGTCGGCCTTGAGGTGTGGAAACACAACGGTCGGTGGTTGTGCGCCGCTGTGTAGTATAGTAATCTCGAAGCGGGGGGGAGCTCGGCATCGCGCAGAGAGAGAGATTTATTCGAGTTTCACAAGCTCTCTCGATCACCGGCACCGGTCGTGACCTCGATAGAGCTCATCCACCTGGTTGTGTTGGATAACTCGAAGCAGCAGCGGCAGCCGCCGCCGCCGCCGCCACCACAGGACCCTGAAAGGTCGAGAGCTCCTTTGCAATCTTGTTCTCCTCCACGCTGATATTCGCAAGCTTCTTCCTCCTCCTCCTCCTCTTCTTCTTCTTCGGTTGCACGACGAAAAGTCGCGCGATGTAGCGATTTTCCTCGACGATCCGACCGCCATCACCCTCTTCGAGCGTCGCGCACTTCTTTGTTGTTATGTATCGTTCCACGCGTCTGCGCACAGAGTAGCAGTGCAGTCGCGTGTCGAGGAAGAGAAAGAGAAAGAGAGAGGGAGGAGAAAGAAGAGAGAGAGAGAGAGAGAGAGAGAGAGTGAGGCCATAGAGATATTTTCGCGGTTCGGGAGAGAAGGATGAAAACTATGGGCGACGTGGTCGCGGATCCCATCGAGGAGGAGAGCAGCGTGGAAGGCACGGCGCAGAATCCGACTGGCGGGAAAGAATTCGGCCAGAAGACGCTCAGGTCCTTGAGGAGGGGGCTCGGCAGGCTTTGGAGGAGGCATCGTGGCAATGCCTCGATCACCGAGTACGACCCCTGCTACAAGGTCGCTTATCTTGGGAACGTTCTCACTGGATGGGCCAAAGGTGAGCGAATAAACATTTTATCTCATCTCCTTTGTCTTTTCGCTTAAGCGACTCGGCGCAAGCGCGTTTCGCGATACCTCGATTTCGAAATTCGCCTGCGTTTCTTCATTCCTCGCCGATGATCAACAACCGTTGTGTATTTATTTTCCTTCTTTCTTTTTAAACCGTTCCAAGGCCTCGCCTTGCAGAGACAAGTTGCGAACAGTGTTGGTATTCGTTACGATTACCCATATAAATGAATAGTTGGAATAGCTTCGACGAGATATCGATTTCTTTAACGTGAAAAAACGTCTCGTCGACCTGGCACGTGTAAATAATCGAGCGATCCGCCACCGAATCCCCTCCCCTCTCTCCCTTCTCCTCACCAAACGGCAATTAAAGATTATGTAGAGAGAGAGAAGTTTAGAGAAGAGGCGCGCGCGTATTCTGAAGCTCGCGGAGACACGCGACGAGCGAGCGGCCGGAAGTGCGCAATACTTCTTGCAGTTAGCCTGGTCGAGCAAGGTTAACTAGCGCAATCATACGTTGGATCCATTAGTACCGGGAACGGCCACCTGAAAAGGAAGGAGCCTGTGGCTATAAATATAAATTCGTCCGTTTTTTCTCGTTAAACTTTGACGCGTGAATCGAAAGCGATCAAGTATATCTCGCAGAGAGAGATAATGTTTCAACTCGACTCTCTCAATTGATTATCTTTTAATATATGCAACAATTATATATATATATGGAACAATTTCATTAATTTCAACTTGTTTCTCTCGTCTACCTGTATAGTTCGTAAAATGACTATACCAACCGTTTCTAAGAATACACAGATATCGATTTGGTTACATAAAACGAGTTCTTAAAATAAAAAAAACCGACTCGTTGTCATCGGTTGCAAAAGTTTTTTTCCGTTTCTATCCGTTCATTATCACCGCAAGATTTTTCTTCGGCCTTTCTTGTTCTCGAAAAATATTATATTACCTGTTATTTCCCTTCCGAATTACCTTGTTCAACGTGAATTAAATTTTATTTACCTTACTTTTTGTATTCCGATAATAGATTGTTTAGCAAAAAAACAACTTATGCAATGATCGTTCCGTGCAATTCCAATTATCGACCCAATTTATTTATCTATTCTATTTCTTTTTTTTTTTTTTTTTCTTCTCTCTCCTCGAGTTACTACCAGGAGTTATACAGGAATCCGGTGGTCGGGACTGTCGGATCTATCGGATGATGAACGAAATTACACAGGAATCGAGACGCGCAACTCGTTCGAACAAAAACGCGCGACCTTGGAGATAGGGAGGGAATCGGGGGGAGGGGAGGGATAGGAAAATGTCGGGGGACAGGGATTAATTAATCGCGGGCGAAATAAGGCGGTCGCGAATAAACGTACCGTAATAATGGCGTTCACGATGATTAAGGCCGACCCAGTCCGTGGCGAAGGTATGCAGAGAAAGTAGGAGCCCCCCTCCGTATACGCCTATGTCCGGTCGTTGCACCGCGCAATGCTTCTTTCTTTTTAATCTCTCACCACGCGTCACTCCCGGGGAAATTCGCGTTGACATTTTGCCTAATTTTCTTTTCCTTCCTTCCTTCTCTCTCTCTCTCTCTCTCTCTCTCTTCTCTTCTCTTTATTCCCTCGTCTCGTTTTATGACCCGTTTACGATCGAGATTCCGTTCTCTCGTAACGAAAGGAATGCAATGCGCATCGATACCTTTTTTTTCCCCTCCCCTCCCCTCTCGCTACGTGGAAAATAATAATACGAAGAGATTAGACACACAGGTTTACGTTATCGGTCGAGGAATTATCGCGATGTTTAGAACGTTTTTTTCGTTCGTTGAACTCGAAAACGATCGTTTAACGATGTTTTTTTTTTTTAAATGTATTTTTAATCTTTCTATGATGGAGTGGTTAGGTTTTTTTTTTTAGATAGAATCGTAGCTAAGCGATTTTGGATTTTAAGATACGCGATATTTTTTGGTATCGTCAATTTTTTGCGGCGCTCTCGAGAGGATGCATCGAAAGGTGCAGAGGGCGTTGCCTAAGAGTTAACTTTTTTTTTCTTTATTATTATTTACCTCTCGTTGACTTAGCTTACTTAAAAGATGAAGGTCAAGTACTGCCGCTTGTTTACAATAATAACGATACGTGACGAGAATAAATTAATTCCCCTATTTAAATACGTGCATAATTTGAAAGTTTTTATTACGGTTGATAATGATACAGGCGACATTTAAATAATCTTCGGTCGAAGGAATAAATACGTTAATTAATATATTCTATCGATCATATATGTTTTGTCTCAGTGTGTAAGATTGTATAAAAAAAATACGTAAGGAGGAAGTTTCTAGAATGATATTCCTGGCGCTGTTGCAAATCCCCTTCCCTTCGCGAATCTCCTTTAAACAATTTCCAGTTTTGATACGAGTTTCGTTCCCGTTCACCTTCGCGCCATTCTCGAGAAGAATGCAAATAGATCTAGCCAAATATCGTCATCTTCGACCTCCTATAATTTTTATTTGACTTATGTTTCTTTTAATTTACTTGGCGAGCAAAGATTTCCAAGGTCTTTTTCGAACCGGTTTCTAAATATCTGCAATATTAACTCTGCAAATTGATCTCATTTTTTAATACGAAAATACTCTTTTCGCATTCGTACCCTTAAGACTCCTCGATATTTTCCCTTCTCGTTCTTATTGAAAATAAGACGCGACGCGAATCGTCAATAAATTATCCTGGTATTTCCTCCAATCGGATACGAAGGCATGCATCTACTTTTATCTGGAATTTCCGCTGGGTGCAAATAGTAGAGCAAAAAAAAAAGAAAAAAAACCGTGCAAAAATTTCACAGAACCGTTTCGTAACGACACGTGTCTCGTTCGAACGAAACGACAAAAGAATCTAAAGGAAAAAAATTCGCTATATATATAGCGCAATTAAAATAATTTTTTAAAATTAATTCCCTATCCACGATGATGTATCGATAGAATTTCTCGATTTCGTAACGAAAGAACGAACATTGAAGAAAAACGCGATCAGGGATTCCATTAAACGGCGTCGTCGCATCAATCCCATGCATCTGCATTATCGATCGATCATGGAGGTTCGTTACCTCGGCTCCCCAATTGAACGTGGAGGCCTGGATTGGCATCCAGCCGGCAACAATGGGTCCGAGCAAACTCGCTCGAGACTTTTCATTTCCTGCGCGAGCCGCTAGTTAGGAGAGGAGCGCGGCGAAACTATACCATGCAGGGGGAGCAGTGTCGCGTTTCGCCTCTCATTTTCTATGGAAATCTCTTGATCGACCGAGTCTGGCAATATGGCGGACGGCCTAACGGAAGAAAAATGGACGGTATTACCTTTAATTGGATAATATCGAACGTGTTACGGGCTGGCGGTCGTGCGTCTACAGTTTTGCCCGTTCTCGAACCTGGATTCTGTTCGAACCTCCCTTTCCCCTTGTTTCCTGTTCCGCGTCCGTTCCAGATCGTCCGTTTTTCCGCTCGCGATTCGATATGTACCGAGCGTACATTTCTCGTGTCATTGGATCGTGACGATCATTGTCAACGAGTCGCTGCTTTCTCTCGTTCGTATCGATATATCGAATACGGAAGATTAAATAACGCAAATATGTCTGTGCGTGCGTGTGTGTATGTGCGTGTGTACAAGTGGAAAATGCAAAAGTTGGAATTGCAATTTATCGAGTATGCGTTGTATCGAGAAATGTTTAGAGGATGTTTTGAGTGAGAAAAGATTGCAATTTAAATCTCCAATTTCGTATTTTATTTTATTTTACGAAAGAGCAGAGCGCGTGAAGAGGAGGTTTTTTGAAAAACGTTACGATAAGGAAATAATTTAGCATTAAATTGCTATTGTTTTGCAAAAATGACAAACTTCTTACACCGGATCTCGAGTTATTCATCGTGTCGTCGAATCTTAAGAAGAACGATACTTTTGTTTTTAATTTTACACAACTTTAACGACGAATAAAGCGCGCTGGGGAGAAAGAAGGAGGATTAATTCGCTTTCGAAAGACAGGCAGTTTCGCTTCGGAAAAACGGCAGCCATATTGGCGCGAGTATTATGTACAGTTGATGAACACGTATGAGTCAATTTTTTTTAGTCGATCTCCATTTGGCAATGGTTCAACTCGTTACCACGAATCGAAAAAAAAAATCACGATTGAAGCAATATTTCGTTTTACTCAAACGATCGTTTTCTGCGTAACTTCATAGAAAAGAGAATTTATCGTCATGTTTTTGACCCGTTTTCTTGGACGATACTTCCAGTGCCGATGTTTCAGAAACTGGAATGAAATTTGCGAATAAAAAGATTTAGTCGAACTTCTTCCATTTCGATCTAAGAAGAAGAAGAAGAAAGATCTAGTTTCATATTTATAACTTTTTAATTTTTATACTTTGACTTGGATTTGACAGACACAGAACGATTCTTCAAAAATTTTTATTCGCGTATTCCATCGTATTATCGTTATTATTGTCGATGTTAATCTCGATCGGATGATCTCGTTTGATACGTCATTATTCGGATTAAGTGTGATGTAATATGTCTCTCTCCTGCTATTAGAGCAAATTAGATGCATCGTAACTTGTTGATTTGATTGGCACGAATTAAAAAAAAAAAAAAATTAGCATCCAACACAATTCAAGGGAAAACGAGGGAAAAAAATTAAAATCTTGTTTAACCCGGTAATCTGATTGTGAGAACAGGCCAATTAATAACGGTGGAATTTTACGATCATTCACACGGTTCACTTTTATCGATTGTATTCAACTGGCTTAGACTGTCTCGATAACTTCTCTCTAGTCTCGCAATTTCTAGTAACCTGTGAAACGATGTGTTTCCTCGAATAATAACGCTTTAATCGCGCGTTTTTTTTTTTCTTTTCTTCAAATAATCTCTGTATTGTTAAGAAAAAAATATGCGAAAATGATTAAAAATCGATTTAAATATTGACGCAATTTCGTATTATGAAATCTCTCTCTCTCTCTC